AGAGGTCACAGGTGACCATAAGAGACAGTCAGTGGAGATGAAAGTATAATTAACAGGAGGTTAAGAAAGAAGTGGAGGCTGGTTGTGCAACCTATCTTGGCAGGGAAGGAGACAGGGTGGTGACTTGTGGGTAAAGCAACATTAAGATTTTGTAAGGGAGGAGATGCCAAACAGTTTTTGGTGAAAGATAAAGAGATCCAAGCAATTGGAAAGGGGATAGTTTTTGGTAAAGATCTGGCGATCATGACACAGATGGGAGACTGAGCACACACTGCTGATAGGAGTATAAATAACTTTTCTGCACCACAATTTGGAGATAACACAAACATTTTAAAAAGTAAAAATTTCCATTCCTTTTAGTAGTCCTTTTGACTACTAAAAATGTTTTTTCCTGAGAAAATAAACATGGATGTGCATATTTAGCTACAGGGATGTTTATCAATCTATTAGATAATCTATTAGATAAAAGCAAACAAAAAGGTTAACAACCTAAATGTCACAATAGGCTTTTGATCAATTTATGGTACAGCTATTCAGTGAAATGCTGCATAGCCATTAAAAACGATATAGAAGAATGTGTGAAATAGAGATAATACAGTATTTACAATATTATCCCATTTCTGTATTAAAAATGTTTTTATATGCAATGAAAAGTCTGGGAAGATATACACCACAGTATTAACAGCAGACATCTCTGGACAGTGTGGTATAATACATTTTTTTGTTTCTTTGAACTTCCTAAAATTTCATCATGAAAACAACTTATAAAATCACACACACATACATAGGGAGTCCATTTATACAAAGTTTAAGAACAGGCAAAACTTCTATGGTGAAAGAAGTCAGAATAGATGGTTATGTCTGAGAGGCTATTGATTGGGAAGGTGCACAAGGGAACTTTCTGGGGTAATGTGGTGTTCTGCATCTTAGTTTTGGTGTATACTTAGGTAAAATTTTATCAAGCTGTGGATTTAACAGTTGGACATTTTACTGGGTGTAAATTATATCTCTTTTAAAAGAAAATACACCCACAAGACAGAAGAGAAACAGGAAGCAGGTGACATCACAGAACAATTTTGAGGTGAAAAAGGAAGATGAGGAAGTTCTGTGACAAGACCTCAGTTTTCTCAGGAAGTAAGATGTTGCAGTGGGTTTAGAGTGAGGAGGATGCAGGTGGGCTTGGATTTGAGAAAGGGGGACACAGTGAAGCAGTGCCTATGGTGTAGAAATGCATAGGGTTTCCTAGAGCTGGATCAAAGGAGTGGGCACCAACCCCCAGGGCTCTTCAACTCACTGTGATACATGCTAGGATTCTGCAGCTGAAGGAGCAAGAGGAAAGAAATCAAACGGTTGAGTTTACTTTGGGAATTGTGACAGTCAGTACTGGCTTGTAGTGGAGAGAGGCGTGAAGCCAAGATGACACCAGAAGGGAGACTGAAATGAGGGTGAAGGGACAGGAGGGCTTTGAGAGCAGAGTAAGGACAGTGGAGTTGGGTGGTAACAGCTGTGGTGAGAGGGACTGGCTCTGAAGTCCTGAGGGTGAAGTAGTTCTGAGTGAAGGCCACACTCAAAGCAGGGGACTGCTGGCAAAGGAGGGAGGGAAGCGACCACTCATCTAAGTGTCCATCTACCCAATGCCAGGCACTCACAGATATCAGCTCATTTAAATGGCACCTGGAGGGGATTCCCTGGTGGTCCACTGGTTAGGACTTGGCACTTTCACTGCCAGGGGCCGGGGCACTAAGATCCTGAAAGCCACTCAGTGCGGCCAAAACGAATTAAAAAAAAACCCAACCCCCCAAAAATGGCACCTGGACTTTTGCAAGGAATGTACTGCCATGAGGTTTATATAGGAGGAAACTTGCCCTAAATCAATCCGTAAGCAGCAGTTTCAAATCCAGATTTGACCCCAAAGCCACATCCCACCATACTCAGCTGCCACACAAGGCAAATCAGCAGAAGAACTGGAATTTTAGGGAATCCAAATATGTAGATGTGAGTCATTGAGGTTGCTGGTGGAAACTATCAGTTGCCAACATCTGGAGAATGGCCAGTAGCAACCAGAACAGGATAAAGTAGTCCAAGCAGATGGCATGTACTTTGGGAGTTTGCCCTGGAGGACAGTGCATCAAAGTGGCAGAAGAGGCAAGAGGAAGGGACTCCGGTGGCTCGGGGCTTGTGGCTCCATCAAGGTAAAAGCACACGTGGAGTTCCAACTGCAATGATGGAAGTGTGTCAAGAAAAAAGTGTCGGGCACTATTTGCCCATAAGCAAAGCCTCAACCCCTCCCCTTTTCCTCTCCTTCCTTAATCCATATGGGGTGAATTGCTAGCAGTGGGCAAACTACAAACTGGCCATCAGTAATAGGAGCTTTTACCCAACACTTATTATGTGCCAGGCTATCTGCAGCAGCAATTCACAGAATCTTCATGGGTATGGTACAGTTGGCCCTATTTTACTGATGATGAAACTGAAGCCTAGAGTTGAGGTTAGTTGGCCAAAATCACAGCCCCAGTCAGGATTTGAGACCAGGTGTATCTGGCATCAGAGTCTGCATCTTCCTTGACTCTATTAATCGATGGCAAAATTTTTACATGTAAGCTTCACAATTGCGAAGTATTCATTTTTAGTGGATTCTGACCTAAGGTGAATAAACTCTTCTTGAAAACTTACTAGACGAAGACATTCTAGTTTACACTTAAGATGTGCATTCAAAAAAATTATATACACACACACACACGCATACCCACCTACACACCTTTGGATAAGCAACAGGGCAGACTCTGAAGATGACAAGAATCCATACTCACAGAAATGAGTTCTTTGCCCAGGACAGACAGTGGGAAAGAGAAAGGCAAAGAATTGAGGCTTAAGTTTCCTCTCAGAAATGAAAATACGAGCAAAAATACCTAGGAGCATAGTTCTAATAGTCCAGAATCTGTTAGATCCAAAGTGACTCTTCTCTAGCCACTCATTTGCAAGGACATGGGTCTGTTCTGGCAGGAGAAACGACATGCCTTAAAAAACTGAGTTCTTAATGCCAGAAAATATACCTTCAAAATACACTTCCTTAGAGAAAGGGGAACAAATACTGAATGACACCTGTGTCAGGTGCTTCATATACATTTTAAGTTTTTTTTCCATTTATTTAATCTTTTAATCTACAAGCCTATCCTGAGGCAGATGATGTTAACTTTTCAGTTGGGGAAACTAAAGCTCATGGAAGCTAAAAAACTTGTCTGAGGTCATAAGGCTGACAAATGACAGAGCCCCAACTTGAACCCAGATCTGCCAGCTCCTTCTACTAAAGCACACTGCCTGAGCTGCCATTTTCCACAAGAACACATTGTAGAAGGTCTATTTTAACTCCTTGCTTCTTGGCAATGTTCCCTCTGTTCCCTCTCCTGGTGTTTTCCAACCTTGCCTTCAGACAGAGAAACATCTACCAGATCTCCCTTAGACAGAAAGACCCACAACTTGTTAGGAAATTTTTGTTATAAAACATTTAATGTTAACCTACAATACAATGTAAACTTTTATGAAAAAAATTTAAAGTACACTAGATTTCTTCAGTAAATTATCACGTAACTATTCAGGTGCAGTACAAGTTGGGGCACTGCATCCTTTGTGGATGGATTTCCTGTTGCTGCATCCCTCACAAGTCCTAAAAAAAACCAGTTGTAAAGTGGAGCTCCTTGTTCAAGCACCAGATAATACACTCCTGATTTTGCATTCTGGGGGTTATCACTCCTTCCCACAGTCATTTTCTGTAACTTTTTCCTTGGCCTTGGCACCATTAGCAATTTTCATGACAGCTCAGTTGAAGATTCTAGGTTCTTTTTATTTTTTTCTAAAAGAAATATTCTCCATTGGCCATCTCTTATCCAAACATCATAGTGAAAACAAGCAAGGAGAAAGAAGTATTTGCTGCAGGAAATCCTGCAGAAGTGAAAGAAGAGACTGAGGCTGCAGAAATTCGACTGACTTCAATTAGGTATCTTTGCTTGGTCAGTTCCTATGGAAATTCAGCTGAATCTACAACTTTAGTCTTGGGAGTACAAAACAAAACTGGAAACAAGTGTTTTTGTTTAGTTGATGACTTGCCATTTGGAAACAACAGCTGAAATAATTAGGAGGTGATTTGGAAAGAAGAACAAATGCTTGCAGATCACCGGCTTCTCAGTATTTTCTCACTTGCAGGTCCCATCAAGTTCCCAGAGGTCTTTGGGAGTAACATACAGATTGTCCGGGCGTTGACAAAATGTGCATCTTTCATGGAGGAGAGGAGATGGCACCTAGGCAGCAGGTCTAGGTCAGCATGAAGACAGGAAGCGAGACTGAGTAAAGCAGGGCTGTTTCAACGCTAGGAAGACTTTAATACTCTGGCATCTGACCTTCTTCACTGGACAAGTTATCAAAAGGCAAGAGGCGTAAAGTGCACATCATAGAATAATATGCAGATTGAATTATTAAGAAAATATTTACAACTTCCCAAAGTGGTGTGGAAAAGATACTTGGTACACCCAGCCTGGTGAAGGTCCTTAATATCCTCCTATGCGGGGAAACAGCTCTGCATTCCAGACAGGGAGGGTGGCTCCGAGTTAAGTGGAAAAATTCATCTTTGCATGGTTGTCAGCAGGAAGTAGACTTCACGTAAGGTAGAGTGGAGAACAGTTTATCCTTAGTCACTCCAGATACATTTTATGACAACAGTCGGAAAGTGATTTCCCACTCATCTGGACTTGGGACAGCAGGAAACAAAGTGAAAGAAAAACAGGGAGCCAGGAGCAGAATTAAAGTTTCCTGGAGATGGTACTGCAGACACCTGTGCCAAGGCCACTGGGAAATTCTCAGGCTCCCCAGGTGATACCCATGGGGCTCCTCACCCTGCCCCTTGGTGTTTACCCCAAACACTAAGGGTGGCAGAGAAGAGCAGTCACATCACTGCTACTTAAAAGAATGGTCCTTAGCTTTTAGCTAAGCAAGAGAAAGCCTTTGGAGGCTGCAAGTCTAGCAAGTTATGCTTTATGTTGACATGAACCCCTGGCCTCACAGCATGCTAGGGAACTGCAATAACTTCAGTAACTTCAGTAGGTTGCAGCGTTACAAGTTCTGCAAGTCTAGCTACAGAACACTTTGGAATACTTGTCAGCTCACGCTGACATCTGTGAATACATGGCCTGACCCCTATACTCATTACCATAAACTCAACCACAGATGAGACATCAGAGGGAAAAACCCCTACTGCTTCAACACAGCAATAGAGGGAGAGGATAAAACTGCCCCCAGCAGGTGGCTACACCAAAAACTGAAATGTGCCTTCCGACACTTTACACAGGCTGAGTTCTGTCTTGGCTCCCTTCAAGGCCTCTGGTTCTTTCAACCCTTAAAACACCACCACCACCACCACATTCCCAGTGAGACAGGCGGGGTATTCTCACATGGTTCTGCTGGTTCCACCACAGACCCTGCTTGTCCTCTGGAAAGGCACCAAGCTTGGCAATTCAGGAAAGCTCAAGGCTGGGCAGGAATAGCATGCACATGTCAGAACACATATCCTTTGTTCAGATCCCATAATGACCACCTGGTCCAGATTCCAAGGAAAAGCTGCAGTTGTACGTATAGGTTAGTCTACACGGAGTTCATACCATGTATATGGGTGTATCTGTACATACACAGCCTTTGTAGAGCTACAAACCCAGATTTCCTCCCATTGTACCAAGTGGGATGCATAGGTGGCAAGAAAGGACAGCAAGAGTTGGACCAAAAAGAACCTCTCTGGGAACGTGAGAGGGACAATGGCAGAAATAAGCACAAACCAGCCTGGGACACCTTTATTACACTCTTGTGGGCTAAGGAGCCCAGGGCAAGAACTCATGGGTTTAAGAAATGCCTCTTTATCAAATGATGTTAAGGAAAAAAAATACATCTATGTCAGCCTCATTCCTTTGGTCATTACAAAGCAACAACAACAAAAAAATTAAAGTTATTCATAAATTGTGGGAAGTTCAAGGAACATCTCTGCTCTGTGCCTTCCCTTCCCTCTCTTCTCCAGAGGTGGAAGAAGCAAGTCCTCAGGAGATGCTGCAGTAGCTGGTTGTTGGAGGTTTTTTCACTTTTATTTTCTATAAAAGCAAGAATGAATGAGATCTAGTGGGAATGTCCCCTTCCCCAGTTGGGACAATGGCTGGGTTGGAGGTGAAGAGTCTCCTTTCACTGGAAGGTGTGGTGCAGAGGCAGTAGGAAAGGGTGGGTTTGCCAGCAGGAACGTTCACTGCTAACCTCGAGTGCACACACAGGTGGTGACTTTTGCAGGCAGCATGGTTTCTGATCCTTCCTGAGGATGCAGCAGTCTTTTAAAAAAAATATTGTATTATAATAATAATAATATGAATTTCTCTCTCTTATTTTTTTGTTTTTTTCCATTTCTTTTAGGGATTGGGGTTGAAAAGGAGAGGAAGAAAAAGTGTCATTCGTCTGTTAGGTCCTGAACAAAGAGAACTTCTGTGTGGCTGAGTCCGGCCTCCTGCAGCGTGGGGGGGTTGGGCCACTCCTCTGAAGGGGTGCAGGGCAGCACCCTCCGGGGAAAATTGGCTTCAATCTGAAACTTTTCAGGGCTTTCTTTCAAGGAGAATAAGAAGTCGTGGATTACCTGCAGAAAAAGAAGGTAATTTTCTATTACCTATAGAAAAAGAAGGGCAGTGAGAAAAAGACAAAGACAGACACACACACAACCATGAAATCAAATATACCCCAGCTCTCCCCAGGGTAACTTGGAGATATGAAGTAATCACATTAGACTGAAATTCCATTTCAAAGTCGATCAATTTCAAAGAGCAAACATGTCGGGAAGCTCTTTTAAGAGATTTATTACACAGCCCAATGCTAGTCCTACTCTGAATTGACCCATCTGTTTCTTTTTTGAAAACCTGTCTGATATAAAGTTAAACATTTTTAACTTACAAATAACCAAGAGTTACAGAAAAGTTGGAAGCACAGGTACAGAATTTTTTCTTTGAACCAGTTGAAAGTGAGCTACCAACTGAATGTCCCATCACCCCAGAATACTTGTGTATATCTTTTTTTTTCGGTAGGCGGGCCTCTCACTGCTGTGGCCTCTCCCGTTGCGGAGTACAGGCTCCGGACGCGCAGGCTCAGCGGCCATGGCTCACGGGCCCAGCCGCTCCGCGGCATGTGGGATCCTCCCGGACGGGGGCACGAACCCGTGTCCCCTGCATCGGCAGGCGGACTCTCAACCACCGCACCACCAGGGAAGCCCTCTTGTGTATATCTTACAAACAGGGCAATCACCTTCATAATACAACCCTCAAAATCAGGAAACTTAACTGATACATTACTACTGTAATATAATAATGTACATTAAATTTTTATTCAGGCCCCATTCAAGTCTTGGCAGTTGCCTTTTTTTTTTTTTTTTTTTGGCAGTTGCCTTTTATAGCAAAAGGATCCAGTTTTAAATTGTGTGTTGCATTTAGTAGTTGTCACATCTCCTAAGTCTGCTCCTTTTAGCCTGGAACAAATACTCAGGATTTCCTTGACTTTCATGACCTTGACACTCCTAAAGATTGCTGGTCAGTTACTTTGTCTCTCAATTGGTTTATCTGATGTTTACTTTTTTTTTTAAATTTATTTATTTTATATTTATTTTTGGCTGTGTTGGGTCTTCGTTTCTGTGTGAGGGCTTTCTCCAGTTGCGGAAAGCGGGGGCCACTCTTCATCGCGGTGCGCAGGCCTCTCACTGTCGCGGCCTCTCCCGTTGCGGAGCACAGGCTCCAGACGCGCAGGCTCAGTAGTTGTGGCTCATGGGCCTAGCCGCTCCACGGCATGTGGGATCTTCCCGGACTGGGACATGAACCCTTGTCCCCTGCATTGGCAGGCGGATTCTTAACCACTGCGACACCAGGGAAGCCCTGATGTTTACTCTTGATTAGATTCCAGTTATGCATCTTTGACAGGAGTATTACAGAAATGATGCTGTGCTCTACTCAATGCATCCTATTCAGGTGGAGTACAATTTCATTTTGCTCCATTACCTATGATGTCCACTGTGACCACTTGATTAAGATGGTGCCTGCCAGGCCTCTCCACTCTAAGTTAGTCTTTTCTCCTTTGTTATTAACGAGTATTTTGTGGGGGGGTACTCGGAGACTACGGAGACATTTGGCTCTTCAAACTTTCTTCAATTTATTTACTTATATTAATATAGAGCCATGCTTTCCTATTTTATTCAATAGGTTCTAATGTTCAAACTGTTTCAGATGGAGTCCGAGGAGCCCAATCAAGCTGGCCTCCACGTCCTTCTGACATGTCTCCATCATTTTTTGAATAATTCCTTGCTTTGTGGTACAAGGTGTTCCAGGCTAATCTTGTATTTTCCCTGTCCCAGTCCTGGAATCAGCCATTTCTCCAAGGAACCGTGATTCTTCTTAATGGACAATGCTATTTAAAAACCACGATCTAGGGAATTCCCTGGAGGTCCAGTGTTTAGGATTCCACGCTTCCACTGCAGGGAGCATGGGTTCGATCCCTGGTCGGGGAACTAAGACCTTGCATGCTGTGTGGTGCGGCCAAAAACGAAAAAACAGAAAATAAATAAATAACAACAACGACCTAGGTGCTAGGTATGTTCATTGCTATTGGGGTGCTGATGTTCCCAAGCACCCTCTGTGGAGAAAGCCAGACAATGTGTACATACATATATACATCTATATCTCTATTTCCCCCTGTATACTGAGAGCCATGAGTTGATTCCCCTCTCCTCATGTATACCCTCCTTACCTGGTTCTGGATTTAACACCCACCCCATCTCCAGGCCACTTGGGCTCTGACTTCTCTGCACTGGGTGCTCTCACATATGCACACCTCCTTCACTTGATCGAGATCTGACACCTTCCACGTAGACCTCTCTTCTGTGAGAAAGCCCTCTTCACCCTGGTCTGGCTCTGGCAAGGTACAGGTAAATTCTTATTTTCCCCTGTCTCTTAACGCCACACATTAAGAACAGGCACCCTGGATCTGATCTATGGTCCTCTTTATCTCAAATTCTGTTTTTAACAAGACTCTAAGGGATGTGCAGTGAAGGGCACTGCTAACCTCTTTCAGGTCCATCCCAAAGATCAGGAGCACCCCATTCAAGTTACCCTTACTTTTTTGAGGGTATCTATTTCTATTTCCTTTTTGTTCCACCTCTCATAAGTTTATTTCCCTCTGCCTGAAGAGGCTATTGCTACAAATCCATTTAAGGAGTAAATTCATTTTCCTTTCACCTAATCCATTCATGATTTTACAAAATTCTCATATTTTGGTCCATCAACCTTAATCACTTTCAGCTCCTTTCTCTGTCTTTGCAATTTCCATTAACATTCATTCTCCTTTTCTTTTTTTGAGATGCATCAGTTAGACTTGCACCAAGTATTCTTGGTATGAACCCAACAGGGTTTTACAAAAGGGCAAAATATCTTGCTTCCTTTTCAGTCACTGCTTGACAATACTCAACACTGATACAACACTGACATTTTCTGTTTATCATTGGCAATGGACCAATACCATCAGGAAACAGATGAAATCACCTCTACAGGTCCCTTTTGGTTCATAATGGATAGAAAAATGATTTCTGGGCTGAGTATAATTTGGTTTCTCTCTTACATGCATTCATTCAGGAGAAGGTCAGCTGCCACTTTTCTGCTCACTCTTGAAGGCTAGAGATTTTTCTACAGTTTACCCTTTTTTATCCTAGCTTTTAACACCTGTCAAGAGCTGAGCATCATACACAAACTGAGCATTTTGCTGAACATTCACTCATTGAGAGTATTTATAAATGGTAGAGCTCACAGAAGATCACACAAACTCCGCAGGAGCACTAAAAAACTGTAACTCACTATTCAGTTACATGTTATTAACTCTATAAATGTTAAATGAAAGGCCAGCACTGCCAATACACCTCTCCTCTTACACTTCTTTCTTTCCCATCTGATCCTTGTCCCCATTTACGAATTATTTCTCTCCATCTGAAGTTCTTTTCTTCTTTAAAAAATAACTTGTAGTATAAACATATTTAAAAAGCCTACAAGGATTAAATATTTAATAAATGGGTTGGTTCCCCTTTGGCTAAAAGTCTATTCTATTCCACAATTCTAACAGATTTTCCTCCAAAACTCTCAAGAGAGGAAATTTTGGTTAGGCTTTTCATATACAAAATGATAATTAGAGTTTGGGGAGTAAAAGCTCCGTAAGCGCTTGGGCATACTACAGAGAAACTGTCAGTGAACATGGCTGCAAGCTAATACCCACACAGAAAACAGTAGTTAGGAAACACATCAAGGAAGGGGAATGAACATTTAGAAACCATCTACTACATGCTAGGTCCTGTGTGAGGCTCATTCATGTTATTCCCAACTAAAACATCCAAAGTTAGAGATGTGAGCACCTTCTCCCATATAAATCAATGTATAAATGAGAGATAAACAAATAAAACGAGGAAGCTATTGCTTCTCTCTCACTAGGATGCCTCACAACGTTTTACTCTGAATTAGCTCTTTGAATCGTCTTACATTCCTTACTGGCCAGTAAGCTCCATGAATTCCAGAACCACGCTTTACTCACCTGCATAACCCCTAGGGTGCCTAGCACAGTGCCTGACATACCTTCAGTTTAATGTTATCAGAGGACAGGTTATATTTCCATTTTACATGCAGGATATATCTGAGGCCCTATAAGAGACTCTGTAACTTGTCCAATGTTTTCCAGTTAAACAGGAGAAGTAATGAATGTGCTACCCAGCCTCACCTGACTACAGAGCATCCACATTTCTATTATGCAGTTTATTCTTGATTATTTCAAATGATCAGGGAAATGGCAGCATCTATTATAGTTGTAAACTTGGAAAGGCAACTTACCAACGCTCAATATAAACAGGAACTTCCTTCTGATAATAAACACCAAAAACAATAGCGTTTGAATGCTTACTATGAGCCAGGCACAATGTTGAGCACTTTACATATGAACTTAATCCTAACAATCCTATTAGAGAGTGACTATTATACCCATTTTAAAGATAAAGAAACTGAGGCTTACAGATTAAGTAAACTGACCAAGGAAACACACCTATTAACACTGGAACAATGAGAATTTGATCTTCATTCTGTGAGACTCTGAGAGTCTCTGCTTGTAACTACATCCCTATGGAATGACAAACACTATTTACCTATGGACACCAGATACCCATGGTAGCCCTACTAAGTGGGGCTTCTAATGGGCTGAGTAGAAAGAAAGGGTGACAACTGCATGCAAGCTGTGCATGCACTTATATTCAGTTGTGTAATTCCAGTCCTTCCAGGGCAGCGGGGATAGAGCTTCTTCTACACAGCAAGGGGTTCTGGTGGGATTCTAAAGCCAATGCGAGTCGAGCAGCTTGGAAGAGCCTCCCACCTCCAACATACAAGTCTTTTGTGGGACTTCTTGGTAAGCTATCTTTTCTTCTTAGCAGAGCTCAAACATGATAAAATGAAACCTTAATAACTGCTTTGAGTTGGCAGCTAGACCTGAAGGAACCTACAATAATTCAGTGCACTCTTCTCTCTGCCCCACCTCCTTCCTCCCCTGTTCATCAGAGCAGCAGATACAGCAATAACACTCTTGAGAGTCTTTAAAAGTTTCCATATCTACAGCCCACACAGCCCAGACTTTACATACACTTCACACAACTTAGGCAGTCCTTACTGTTAGAGACTGTGAAAAGTGGAATCGTCTTTCTACTCGAGAATCATTGGGTAATTTGAAAATGATTTTGACACTTTCAGGGTCATCAGGGGAAGGCTCCGGGGGCAGGCACTCCAACTTCCTTTCCTTCTCCTCTTGTAAATTCTGTAGAGACACAAAGCAAAGGTGAGGCTATGGCTCCAATCAGGGAACAAGGAAACAAGAAACACAATCACAACATGTAGGTTTACTAGGCAGTCAGATGAAAAATTAATGACCAGTATCAGAAGAAAACTTCTTGGCAAGGGTCAGAAACACCCTAATTCAAATTATATTTATTTGATTACACACTATTGCATCACATGTATTATTTATTGACTATGTTAAGGTATGTAACTGTTAGAAAAAAGGGAATGACTAAAAGACCCTGGCTATAATCAAGCGGCAATATGCAATGAAACAAGATGATGAATAAAATGTCAGATGAGCTAAACACTGGTACTAAGAATGAATGCTTAAAATCTACTGCTGTGAATTAGCATATTGAACTGCTTATTATCTATTTATACTTACTTTTCATGGAACAGAGCTTTTCTGCCTAACTTTTACTTACTCTTGTATTTGTTTTAATAAACTTTTTAAACAATTAAAAAATACTTTTTGTGAAAATGTAGTAAATATTAAAATGGCATGGAGAATTTAAATCACTCACAATCCTATCATCTAGTTTTTTCTCTCACACTTGAGAAAAGACCAGTTTGAGAGTCACCAGAAGTAAATAAAGACAGGCTCCTTACCCGCCGCCGTCTCTCCTCTGCCAACTTCTGCTGCTGCACCTCTTCCTCCTTCCGCCGCTTCCGCTCCCGCTCCTCCCGCTTCTTTCTCTCTTTCTCCTGGTCAGCCCGGAGAGAGGCCAGGTAGGCCTCATCCTGTTGTTGTCTCAGCACCTGGGTCTGGTTTCGTTCTTCCCTGTGGACAGATCAAAAGCATAGAGGGAAAAAATAAATCTCACAAAGCTCTGTGTTTTCTTATATTGAAATTTTTTAGGGGGTTAAAAAGGTTGACAATCTTGGCAGATGACAGTTAATACTACCATAAGGGATTCAGATTCTCATGCAGAATCTGAATGAGCCATCTCTTTTCTTACTTTAATTTGGCAGAAAAAGAAATGGCAAGCTTTTCCCTCTCTTTTTAACTTTCCATGTAAAACTATCCTTTCCCCCCAATCCTAACAGAAGTAACACAATATTATTGCCATAAAATGATCAGTGGGATCATATTTTATAGGTAAATACCTTTCTGGGTTACAACATTTTTGTGTATCATAAAACCAAAAAACCACATACACACATTTTAGAAGATGTGAAAAATAAAGAAACATCTTATTCAGAGTTCTACTAATTAAAGAGAAAACACTGTAACATTTTGGGATATTTCTTTTTCTCTCCAAAAAATTGTGTATGTACGTAGGAGTGTGTGTGTCTGTGTCTATAAAATTAAAAGAAAATACCCCAGAATGTTAAAAGTGGTGGTAGGATTATGAGTGATTTAAAATTTCTTCTGTGCTTTTCTATGTTTCCTGAATTTTCTACATTAATTAATGTACATTACTTATGTGATGGGGGAGGAGTTATAACCAAGTTATAAGCATTCCTCATTTTTTACATTTAAGTTCTTTATATCATGCTCAGCTATTTTAAATGACACAATTTACATTCCTGAGCATAGAGTCCTGTCTTTATTTTGAATCACATCTCCAAGAAAAGATGATCTGATGGAGTTATTTAGGTAAAAATATATAAATATTTTAACACTAAATGGACAAGGCTTTTAAAGTTGCCTAACAGAGAAGAAGTCAGGATTTGTGGAGCCCCAGGTAAGGCACCCAAGTCTACAGCTCGTCTCAGTTCCAGAGAGGAACTCCCCTGTACCTCTCTAGGCGTTCTGACACCAGGTAAGTCTGGTTTGCATCCATGATAAATGTCAGCTGGTTAATGAGGTCATCAGGCTGAATGAGGCCTTCTAGCCGTCCTACCACAGTCATTCTCCGATCCTTCAACATAATCATGGCCAGGAATGGATAGGTGTTTTCTCTTAAAGCCTGTGAGACTGACAGAAAGAAGACCCAAAAGATCAAGGGCAGGACTTAGGGATAAAACAGATTAATTCTTAGACTTTACACAACAAGCAAGAGAGAACTGCTTTGGTCTCAGTTGGGAAAGAAGGGAGGTGTCATTTATTCCCTGCCTACCTTTTTCCCTCCTAGTTTCTCAATCTTTTTGCTGTTGTTGTTATATACTTGTGTCCCTATTCCCAGGTAATTTGATTAGAGTAGGACAGGCTTTTCTGGTGGGGTGTGGTTGTCATGATGATGCTAGGGCAGGCTGCAGAGTTCAAGAACAATGTCTATTTGATGGAGGGAAAAGGCTCTACAAAGACTCTGGCTACTGCTCAGCATAATTTCCCCCTGTGTCGAAGGGGACAAGGCTGCAAGTCTCAAGTTTATGTTACTGGTGAGGATCTCCACCATCATCTTCCTTGTCTTTTGTTCCTCTCATCCAATCCCTTCCTTATCCCCTTTTCCTATGTCCCACCTGCCCCCACCCACTAAAAAAGGGCTAGCTTTTCTGTTCTGAAGGAGTTTAGAAAGTTGGTCTTCCAAATAACCAAGATTTTACAATTACAGAGCTTTACCTGTTTTACCTTATGATTTGAAAGAAGAGATTTTAAGCTTCTGTTAAAAATATTCTTAGTCTCCTTCTATCTATCACTCCTCACACCCAAAGCCGTAAGAGAATGGCAAAACATATACTGCAGGAACTTATCAGATGTTTAAAAACCAATTAGGAATAACAATTCGGATTCCAGGATGTAGACAAAACATCTGCTGCATCTTTGGTTCTCAGGATTTAGCACAGCACCTGGTATGCTAGTATATATTCAAAAGTTGCTGAATAGAAGTAGCTGCAAAGTAACTACATTTTCCTTCACTAGATGCCTTTATATCTTATACTGACTTCTAAAGATATTTACCTCCAGTTAAGAGTTAGTTATAGTCAGCAAAGATCTGAGCTTTCTGAATCCCTATCAGCACTCAGGGTACTCAAACTCATTGTGCAAGAAGCTCTGTTAAAATTGCTGATGACAAGAATAAACTCTTCAGTAAAAAGCTCATTAAGATTAAAGGCAAGCTGCTGGCCAGGACTGGGTTTTTTTTTTTTTTTTTTTTT